AAGCTTTTACGACCCCAGTTGCTACTCACTGAAGTAAGACATAGAACAGTATTTTTCTGTACTGTGCTGTGCCAGTTGAGCTTGATGTCCCCCATGACCATGATCCCCAGCCCACAGGCCCAGCAACTCACTCCTTCAAGGTGCTTAGTTGTGGCTAAGAAGGTCTTCTTACTTTGCCCCATGTTAGCTTTAAACTGCATATGGACATTTTTATAGCACACACAAGTACATATGTGGGAATATCATCTGCCAAACCTGTGTGTGGTCATGGGTATGTTCCCATTCGCCTGTCCATACCTAATCTTCTTGCCTGTCCACCTGTGTATCCTCATGTAAATTAGTGTTTGCTATTAATGATAATGCAGACTTGTTTGTGTAATAGTATTTACCTTTATTGTCTGTACCTCTTGTGCACCTCTCTGTGTCTTCCTTTTCCTTCATGGTGCTGTGCTAACCACACACCTTGGTTATATTCCTTTTCCCTTCACCCATATAAACACTGCTTTCTTAACTCTCTGTTTTCCCTCCCTTTCCTCCCTCATCCCTGGTAACCAATAAAGAAAATTTCCTTCCCTGTGTAAACCTTTCCTTGACTTTTTATAATAATGTACTCATACAGTATTTGTCCTTCTGTGATTGACTTATTTCACCCAGCATAATGTCCTCCTGGGGCTCTGTTTTTAAGCTGAGAGTGAGGGAATCGTGTTTGAATTTTACAGGATGATCTTGAGTGTTCTGGAGGCAAGAAGAACAGGGAGGAGTCTTACAATAATCAGTAGAAAGAGGACGGGGGGGGGGGGTGGCAGTGGGAAAGGGGAATGAGGACTGACCGGATAATTACTGAGGAAATCGCCAGGACGTGGTGGCTGGTTGCAAATGAGAATTGAGGGAAAGGGAAGAGTGAAGGTTGGGCCCCAGCCTCAGCTTTGCCACTTACGGGGAGTGGGGAGTGCAGAAGGACTGGGAGGGAAGGATGACAGGGACAAGTGGAGGTGTCTCATAGGCACTGGATGTCTGGGTGTAGAAGCAGAGTGCTTTGGAGAGGGTGTAACTCAGGAACTCGGCACACAGCGATAGCTGAAGCCAGGGAACATAAAGGCATGAGGAGAGAAGAAAGAACTCTGAGAAAACCAAGATTTAAGGTGAGGACAGAAAAAGAAGGATGAGTAGGGGAGGGGCAGATTAGGGGAGGACCAGCAGACAAGTGTCATGACAACCAAGAAGAGGTTTCTTAGAGAAGACATTGCCCTGAGTCAGGCCTGAGAAGCATCTGTGGGATTTGACATTTCTGTAGTCCCTGAAAACTTTCAGCAGGGCCACTGTGGAAAATCTGCAGAAATTTGCCTTGGAAGGCAAGGAGTGAGATACTGTATGGCCTTCTGTAAGGCCATCTAAGCACATCTAAGCCTATTGAATTTCTCTCATCATTCAAGACGCAAATGGAATCTCTTCAGGCTTTAGCTGTTCTGCAGAAGTCCCCGCTGTGTCTAGCTACCCAGTTGCTGTCTTCTGACTCGTGGCGACCCCATGTGTCTCAAGAGTAGAACTGTGTTCCATAGGGTTTTTCAATGGCTGATTTTAAAAAAAGCAGACTTGAACCTTCAACCTTGTGGTTAGAGTCAAGCATGTTAACTGCACCTCCCAGGGACTCCTCTGTCTAGGTAGGGGAGCTTTGAAAAGTACATTCATTTATGGTGATAGAAATTAGAACAGATTGTCTCTGGGAAGAGAGGTGGGGATGGATTGGGGAAGAGGAGAACGTTCTGGGTTAATGGAAATGTCCTGTATCTTGAAGTTATGGGCTGCATGGATGTATGCATTTGTTAAAACACATCAAAAATTGTACACTTAAGATCTGTGCATTTTGCTGTATGAAAATTATGCCAAAGGATGGATGCCAGGGTTCTACCCTGGACCGTTAATCAGAATCTTAAGGCCTGGGGCTTGTGTGTGGCTATTTTTTAAGGCTGCACAGGAGATTGTAATGTACAACCAGGAAGAAGACCCACAATTGGAGGAACTAATCTCTCCTTCAGATGCGTTGGGCTGTGAAATGGCTCCCTCACATTCTTCCTGGTACCTGTTCTTCCATCAGTTTCTGGTCAAGTTCGACCCAGCTGAGCTGTGAGCTCTGGGTCGCGCTGGTGACAAGCTCAGGCCCACGCACTTGGTGGTCTGCAGGACTCCGGGGGTCGAGGACAGAGGGACCGTTGAACCGCGAGTCTCTCCGTACTGTACGCCTCAATTCACCCCCATGGGACCGGGGGGAGAGCGCAGGCACCACTTGGAGTGTTTTGAGAAGCGTAAAGAAGTTCTACGCTCTCGCGCCTCGATCGCGGGGACGTCACCACCTGGCTGACCAGTGATCATGAGGCGACCTGTCCAGCAAAGCGGCCGGATGACCTCGTGGCGCAACGGTAGCGCGTCTGACTCCAGATCAGAAGGTTGCGTGTTCAAATCACGTCGGGGTCAGTTGTTTTCCTAGGCTTCCTCAACCGCATCATTTTTCAAATTTTCGAGCCTGAGGGCCTAGGTCAGGGAGAAAGAAGCACTTGTTAGGGGCCAGGAGGAGAGAACTTCAGGCACAAAATTCCGAGGCCTCACGGTCGCACGAACACAACGATCTCTCAGTAGTTTTTCCGTCAGATCCAGGTACAGTAACTGGCGGATAGCTGGACTCCCGAAGACAAGCACACGTCGAGGGAGGCGAGCCAGGCGTTCGCGCGGGGAGGAGGCTGCTCTGAATTTAAAGGTACTGGGTTTGCTTTCTCCAATTCACGGCGTGGGCGGGTCCTAAGTCAGGAGCAGGAAGAGTTCAGAACCCAGAGAAGAGATTCAAGGTAGTTCTTCTGTAGACGAGGTGGCCGAGTGGTTAAGGCGATGGACTGCTAATCCATTGTGCTCTGCACGCGTGGGTTCGAATCCCATCCTCGTCGGCTTGCAGTTGTTGCTGCTCACACCAGGTTTTTGACTATTTCTGTGTCTCTTCTGCGTCCGTTTCCACCTTTAGCAGTTTTTCGTGCCTTCCATTCATTTCGTCAATAGCACGAACAATAAAAAGAAACATGTTGTAATTCTCACGCAAGCCATGGGGCTAACTTCCGCCAAGTAAACAAGATGCAGAGGTTTCCGCACCTGGCGCCGTGGCTTAGTTGGTTAAAGCGCCTGTCTAGTAAACAGGAGATCCTGGGTTCGACTCCCAGCGGTGCCTGCGCTATGTCGCTTACTTTTCCAAAGACTTCTTCAATCTCAAAGCGTCACATAAATTTTCCCCATGACCGTTGTTCCTTACCCCACGAATTCGCCGGAAGCTCTCAGTCTTTTGCCATTTGAGGTGGATTGCATGCTTAGGAGTGGTCGCTGACGGCGTCTTGCCGGTCATGAACACCCATGCCTGTGCTTCAACCTGCCTCAAAGGCAATAGGCGCATTATCTGTGTTTTTCTGTATCTCCGTGGCTGTTACTTCTCAAAATGCTCAGCAAATCAGTTTCCGCCTTCCACTTTAATGTCTTAAAAACAATCCTATCCTCTCCGAGATTTCTCTGAAGAGGATGACCTGATCAGTTATATGAGTTTTACACAGTTTCCTAAGGACTCTTTTTCAGGACCTGGCCGGTTAGCTCAGTTGGTTAGAGCGTGGTGCTAATAACGCCAAGGTCGCGGGTTCGATCCCCGTACGGGCCAATGGCTTGTGTTTTAGAACATAGTGGTTCTACCTTTCTTAGAAACATTTATAAGTAGTTAACTGCGGAAGGTGTATGTGAATATTTCATACACAAACGGGAACAAACGTGCATTTCAGTTTAAAGTGGGAGTGTCTTGAAGAGGAAGAACACCAAACGTTTAGGAAGTCAGACCTCCTTCAACCTGCTAGGGATTGGGACGAGGATTGTTTTAAATTATAAATGTAGCACAGATGGATCAGCAGAATAGGGAACTGAAGCTGACAAGTGGTCTCAATTTTCCAGGATAAGATGTCCCATCTGCCCAACCCCTGCTTGCCCACTTCAGGATTTAACATGATCCCTTTCCTCCCTCTTCCAGAGTACCTTGTTTCCATTTCTGCTGTTACTGGGTTTCTAGGCCTAAGCTGTGTCTTCCCTTCCCTCTCAGACCCTGCTGCTTAAGATCAGGAGCCGCATCTTCCTCTCCTAGAGTGGAACCCCACCCCACCCGGAGCACCAGCCCTCGCCCCAAGGGAGCTCCAAGCAAAAGATCCACCCTGAGACCCATTCTTTTGGCTTGACAATCCCTGCAACCCACACAAATGCAGCCTCAGTCTTAGCAGCAGCAGCACTTTAATTCCACAAAACTCAGAAAGCCAAAACTGATTAGCACACTCCACAACAGGTGGACTTCAAAACCAGCAACAATTCTAACTGAACCCTGAGCGCAGTGAGACACCTCCCACCTCACTCCCTTCACCCTGTGATGCACTCCTTCTAGCTCCACCTTTGTTCTGGCTGGGGAATGGTATGGTATGGAGATGAGGGCAGAAACAGGAGGTTGTCCCTCTGCAGGTGTGTATCCTTGTTTGCATGGGTTGTGGCCAAGGCCTGCTCAAGCTCCCAAAGCCCCTGGCACCTGAGATATGGCCACTGGAGTCAGGATGGCCACGGTGGGGGGTAGGGTCTCCATTGTTCCCCTCTCTTGATCATATATGGGAGACCTGTCTCCACCTTCAAGCTGAAAACTAAAACCCTGGTTTCCCAAGGATGGTGCTCTAGCTAGGAAAGAGAGTTGTAGCGAATAGGGTAACTACAGATGGCCAAATGAATAGAAGCAGAGCCTCATCCCCTCCCTCCAAGACAGCAGTTAGAACTTCCCCATATACACCTAAGGCCCAGAGATTAGGTGCCAGCCTGCTAAACACATCTGCAAGAGCCTCCAACACATAGGTCTCCCCTCTGCAGACAGTTCCCATCAGGGCTTCTTGGAAAATCTTTAGGGTCCTGCTGGGGCTTGTCCTGGTCAGGCTTGGCCTCTCCTGACCCCCTGATCACTTGCACAGAGCCTCCAACACCTCCAGTGTGCGTCGGATGTCTCGTACTTGGCGAGCCAGTCCCTGAACCGGTTGCAGGGCCCGCTCCAGCTCCTCGCAGCGCGCCAGCAGGGTGTACATGCCCTTGATGCTCATGTCCACGGCTTCGCCTAAGGAGTCCACGGCGTCGCGATACGTCTGAATGCAGCCCACGCTCAGCGCTGTAAGCTCCTGCACTGCGCCACCCAGCCCGCGGAGCAGACGGTCCACTCGGCCGCCCAGCTCCCGACTCAGCCGCTCCAGGTCCCGCAACACGTCGGGGTCGATCGGCGGGATGGCCGGAGAGGGGGCAGGCGTTGGGCAGGAACGCGCAGGGACGGGGAGCGGGGGCTGAGGGGTGCCGCTCAGACGGATTTTGAGTTGTAGGTTGTTGGCCACAAAGTGGGTGAGGTCGCCGTGGCGACTCACTGTGCCCTCCAGCTCCAGGGCGCTGGAGATAGTGGCCCGGCGCCCGCCGCTCGCGCCGGCCTCGGCGCCCGCTGCGGACCCTGCGCCGCCGCACGCTCCGCTCAGCGCATCCAGGCTGCGGCTGTCCTGAAGGCGGCTGGAGAATGAGCGCCCAGTCCTACCGGCCACCGCCGCCTCTTCGTTGTCTTCCTCCTGCGTCTGCTGTTCAACACTCATCCCGCCGCCTCCCGGGCTCCCTAGACAGCACACCCTCTCGGATGCAGGCTCGACCTCCGGTGGCTCAGGGTCTTGGCGCCGGGAAGAGGGGGACGGGTCGTGCTCCGGACCCAGCGCCACCCTGCGGCTCCCGGTCCCAGACGACGTTCCTCGGGGCCCGGATTCGTCCTCCTGAGCCTCCCATTCCAACCGGTGGACTACGCTGCAGCTCGAAGTCTTCAGGGACGCCCTGGGGTGGCGGCTCGCGCCCCCAACGTTCTCGGCCTCTTCCTTCTCAGATACTCTAAGGTCTGAGGATGACTCAAAGGGCGTTCGGCCCGGCTCACTGCCGAAGATATCGGCCTGGTGTTTCCCTAGAGCCGGGGGGTCCGCCCCGGGCCCAGGCCGCCCCTGGGACGACTCCATACTGTAGGTGGGGGCCGGAATCGAGAAATTGGTTCACCTCGATTAGGGAGGGAGGCGTTCGCTGCGCCTTTAAGGGGCGTTGGTGGAAGCGCGCCGATTGGCAGCAGGCTGACAATGGTAAGGACAGGAAGAGAACTTTGATTGGTCGTGGCGACCAGAAAGTCCCGGAAGAAGAGCAGTTATTGAACTGCCAAACACACGTGAGAGCGAAAGGGGTGGAGAGAAGGAGGTGACAGCTACGCTCGTCGCCCCTCCCCTTCGAAAAGTTGAGGGGGCGGATCTTAAAGACGCAGGTCCTGAAATACCGTAGTCGCGAGGGGACTTTTTGCGCCTACAGTTGTCCCGCCCACAATTGCTTAGCAAACACAGTAAGTGGGGACCAGACGTGCGCTTCTTGGAGAAGTTTTTAGGTTAGAAATAGTGTATCTTGCTTGGACCATCTGGTTGAACTGCACCTTGTTAGTCAAGAAGGATGGAACCAGAATTGTCAACAGAGCATGAATGGTTCGTTCCAAGTCCTCGGATGACAGATTGAGCAGAGGAACTGCCCAGGGTGATTCGACATGGTCCACACAAGCCGGCTTACGGGATCTCGCGTGCTTTTTGCCATTTTGTCCTCTGTCTCCTGACCCCTCCACGTTGAGAGTCTTTCTCCCCTGGCAGATAGGCTATAGATTTTGCCACGAGATAAAATATTTAATAAATGAAATAATAACTTTTTATAAGTTTTTTTTTGTTGTTTGCCGTCGAGTCGATTCTGACTCCTGGCGACCCCAAATGTACAGAGTTAGAAGTTGGGCTAAAGGCTGTGACCTTTAGCAAGGCCTTACTTATTTATATTGCAGAACCTCTGGATGCGTTTTACCCCCAAACTATTAGTAAGTAGTCCAGGAAGTAAAGTGTTGTGATAGAAAATAGCTGAGGGAGCACTCGTTTTGATAGGGGGTCAGGAAAGGCGTCTTTGAGAAAACATTTCACTGAAAACAACTGGAAGGAGCCCAGCCATATTCCAGGCCCAGCGAGGAATAATTTGTGCCAAGTCCCAGAGACAAAGGCTTGACATATTTATTCAAGGAACTAGAGAATAGGGGGTGGGGTGCAGGAGACGTTGGGGCTAAAACAAAATGAGCCAGGTGAGAGGATTCACAGCAATGAAGCTGTAAAAGCAGGCAGGGATCACATCCTGCTGGGGAATGGAGATTTTTGTCTCAGTGCAGTGGTACCACAGACACTGGGAGACATGCAAACTGCAATACACAGCCAAAGCCCTGAGACATCAGTATTTAGTAAATACAGATGGTTTGCTAAAGCTCCTTTGGTTGATAAAGGAAGTTGTTGCTCTTATCTGAATAGAAAGGTGATCTGAGTCAGTGTCATGTCGTCATTCAGAAGGGCAACTTCCCAGAATCTCCCAGCAATGCCCACCCCAGGGTCTTAGCCGGCCAAGCGTGATGACAGCAGCTCGCCCTTTGACCACAGCCGAGGAGCCCAGCTCTCTGTATTTTATAGTCACCTACGACCTGATGAAACCCTAGTTATTCTTCTGCTCTAAGCAAAGCCCGTACACATTTGGGCTGTGCAGATATACCTTAAATGTGGGGGGAACCTACCTCAAGGATCGGAAGCTGGGCGAGAGAAAAGGAGTGATGTGATGGAACTCATATGAGTTTGGTGGTTACTGTAGACTGTTGTGGGAAATGTTTGGAGGACAAGAAGGGACAGGAGACCAGTGAGGAGGCTGTTGAATTCTCCAAGTGTGAGGTGATAGTGGCCAGCCTAGCCTGAAGGTAACAGAGTTAGGCTTGTGGACACATTTCAGATGTATATATTTGTGTTTTGTTTTAAATTATACTTTATTGGGTTTAAGAGCTCTGGTGGTGTAGTGCCCAAGGCATGTGACTGCTAACCAGAAGGCTGGCGGTTCAAACCCACCAGCCACTCCTCACAAGGAACATTGGGCAACCTAGTTCTATAGAGATAACACCTCTGAAACCCAAGGAGCAGTCACTATGAGTCGGATCCAACTCGACAGCTGTGAGTTTGGTTTTAGTTTATTGTGTCTAAGGTGAAAGTTCACACAGCAAATTTGGTTCCTGTTTAATAATTTCTACACTTCTAGACATATCTTGTAGGAGCTCTGGTAGCATAGTGCCTAAGGCACTTGACTGCTAACCAGAAGGCTCAAACCCACCAGCCACTCCTCGGAAGGAAGATGGGGCAATCTACTTCCGTAGTGATATTGCAAAGAGGGGTCACTATGAGTTGGGTCTGACTTGAGGGCACATAACAACAAACATCAACAGATGTATCTTGAATGTTGTAGTAGCAAGTGTTTGGCTACCTACCATCTCTTCATGGATGGGAAGCGCCTCACTCCTCACTCTGTTTTGTGAGATGATAGCCTCCCATCTACACCCAGGAATAGGCACAGGACCCAAACCTCAGAATGTTTCATTCATCTGACTGCAGATTGGCTCAGGGATGGGCAAATGACCCAGTGGAGGACTAGTAAAAGCCCTCCCAGTACCTTTTTTTTTTTTTTTACACTGAAGTTATAGATCATGTGACATGACTTCTCCTCCTCTCTCTCTCTCTCTCTCTCTCTCTCTCTTTTAAGGGGAATATTCTTGTGTCTGAAGTCAAAGCCATGCTAGCAGATATATGTAGCATTTAATTATAATCTGTGGGATCTTTGGGACCCTGCCTGTCTTTGTTGAATTATTTATTTATTATTATTATGTTTAACCTATTTATTTATTTATTTTAAATTTTGGCAGCGTTCCCTCCTCTCCCCTCCCACCCCTGGTAAACAACAAAGAAAGTTTCTTTCCATATATAAACCTTTCCTTGACGTTTTACAATAATGAACTAATACTGAATTTTTCCTTCTGTGATTGACTTATTTCACTCAGCATCATGTCTTCCAAGTTCATCCACATTATGTAGTGTTTTGTACATTCTAAGCTATTCTTTAGGGTTGCATAGTATTCCATTGTGTGTGTGTACCATAGTTTGGTTATCCGTTCTTCTGCTGATGGACACCTAGGTTGTTTCCATCTCTTTGTTATTGTGAATAGTGCCGCGATGAACATGGGTGTGCATGTATCTGTTCTTGTCCTGGCTCTCACTTCTTTAGGATATATACCTAGTAATGGGATTGCTGGATCAAATGGTATTTCTAATTCCAACTTTTAAAGTAATATCCATACTGCTTTCCACAGACTTCCCCTTCTCTTGGGATCTCAGTCTGGGTATTATTGCAAATATTAAAATTCATTCAGTTTGAACATAATGTATATTCTCAGCAGTTATTCTATATGCATATAAGTAGACCATTCTGATTGCAGAAAAAAAAAATGGCTCCACAAAGACAGGTGCAATGGGGCTTATAAAGAAAAGAGGAGGGAGAAATGTATAAAAAAAGAGGATCAACCATTAGCAAAATAATTAGTCCAAGGGAGTAGCGGGCCATGGGAACCTCAGCCTACAGGACCCTGAGACCAGAAGAACTAGATGGTGACCAGTTACCACTGTCAACCACTTGGAAAGGGATCAGTATAGGAGATCCTGGGTAGAGTGGGAGAAAAATGCGGAAAAAAATCTCAAAATCATTTAAAAGGACCAGGCTTACTAGTCTGATAGAGACTGGTGAAGTCTCCAAGACTGTGGCCCCCAGTCACCCTTCAGGCCTGGAATTGAACCCACTGCTGTGGCTTCCAGCCAAACAATCGGCCTGTAAGGTGAACAGTTACACCAGGTGGGTACACTCCTTAGGACAATCAACCACGGGAGGTCAGAAGGGCAGCCTTAGCACAGGGGGAAGCTCAGAGGGCAGGAACGCAAAGGGGAGAGGGACACAGGGGAAAGGTAACCACAGGGAGGAAGTGGGAAGAGAGCTGTTACACCATGGGGATTGCCATCAGTGTTCTGAAACAAAATGTCTATGAACGATTGAATGGAAAATGCATTTGCCCTGTAAACTTTCACCCATATCACGATAAAATAATAATACCGTTCTGCTGGAGTAGCAGAAGAAAAAAGTAAAGTCTGAAATATCAACTGTTGGTGAGAATGTAAAAAAAAAAAGATCAACCATTGGTTACCAAAATTCAAACTCACCACTTTCAAGTTGGATCTGACTGGAAAGTAGATTGTCTACCCTTACTCCCGAGGACTGGCTGGTGGGTTTGAACCGCCAGCCTTCTAGTTAGTAGTCAAATGCCTTAGGCACTATGCCACCAGAGCACCCCAACTATTGGTTAGCTAATCTTAACATGATCACTCAAACCTTGCCTTCTCCTTTACTGAGATCAACTGATATCAGGTTACTTCTGGACCTTCTACCCACCTGCAGCCATGAGACTTTTTTTGAGATTTAAATTAGGAGATAGTGGTTTGGTGAGTGTCCTTTTCTAGGAGGATGAAACAATTTATATTGCTACACAACAGTTTCTGGCAGGCTTTCGCAGTTTAGGCCTGGCTTTGTGTGGTTATTTGTTTTTGTCTGCTCCTCATCTGTCAGTTTGTCATACTGTGGTGGCTTGCGTGTTGCTGTGAGGCTGGAGGCTATGTGCCACTGGTATTTCAAATACCAGCAGGGTCACCCGTGATGGACAGGTTTCAGCAGCTTCCAAACTAAGACAGACTGGGAAGACGGAAGGGGCCACCCACTCCTCAGAAAATTGGCCCGTGAAAACCTTATGAATAGCGGTGAGACACTGTATGATACATTACTAGAAAACTTTGTGAATAGCCCTGAAACATCGTCTGATATAGTGCTGGAAATTAGCCCCTTGGGTTGGAAGGCACTCAAAATATGACTGGGGAAGAGCTGCCTCCTCGAAGTGGAGTTGACCTTAATGATGTGAACAGGGTACATCGTTCTGGGTAAAGTAGAGGGTCAGCAAAAAAGTGGAAGACCCTCAACAAGATGGATTGACACAGTGGCTGCAACGACGGGCTCAAGTATAGCCAGGAGCGTAATAGCTGGGCAGTGTTTCATTCTGTTGTATATAAGGTCACTATGAGTCAAAGTTAACCTGTCGGCACCTAACAGCAACAACATTTGGTTTTGAGGCTAAGGAAAACTTTAAAATCAAAGCAAGATGTCTGTTATTAATTTTCTGTTCAACAATATTATTTATTAGCTGGGGCAGCTTGTCCATCTTCTGTGGCCAAGAAGAAAACACTGTCTACAGAAGGAGAGAATGAGGCTGATAAGTCAAGGGAACTACAGATTAAAAATAGAGAGAGAGAGGCATGGGCCTGCCAGCATTTAAATTCCTGTGTGTAAAAAGGACATGGAGGCGGCATCTTCTGACCTCCTCTGAGTTCACAAGAGGAAGACAGAATCACCAGCAGCAGCACGTGGCTTATTCCTATGAAGCCAGACATGTCGCCACCCTCCAGCCTTTTTACCAACTTTGACACCAACCGTCCCTCCCACAGCACTCGCTACTTCTCTGCTGCGTTTGATGATTCATTGCAATGGCCACACAGAACTCACAGACAATACTCATGATTATGGGGTTTATTAGGGAAGTAACAGGCTACAATTCAGGTTCAGGAATGCACTCAGGATATAATTCTTTGATCAGGACAATCTCCCCTATGCTGTGCACTCAGACATGCCTCTCTGGCCCCTGGCCTCTCTGGCCCCTGGCCTCTCTGGCCCCTGGCCTCTCTGGCCCCTGGCCTCTCTGGCCCCTGGCCTCTGCCTCTGTGGGCCAGGTAAGCCTGCCGCTCTGTCTCAGGCCTCTTGGTTCCACTGCCACCATCTCTGCTGGAGCATCTCCCTGTCAGGACTTCTCTCAGCTAAGGAGGTCCAGCATAGAGATCTCTGCTTGGTGGGGACTTTCAAATAAGATGTTTGTGACCTACCAAGGGGAATAGAAGGAGCTCTGGTAGCACAGTGCCTAAGGCACTTGACTGCTAACCAGAAGGCTGGAGGTTCAAACCCACCAGCCACTCCTCGGAAGGAAGGTTGGGCAATCCTACTTCTGTAGTGATACCGCCTCGGAACCAAAGGGGGGGTCGCTATGAGTCAGGGCCGACTTGATGGCATATCACAACAACAACAACAAAGGGGAATAGACAGTTTACTAATAATGCAAATAAGGTCCATGGAACCCTTGCAGGGGTGGGGCTAAGCAGAACCCTTGTAGGGGATTGGTAAGTTTTGCCTAAAAAGAGAGGCAATCCCAAAACAGAGGGATTCTACCATCAAGAAAGATACATTATTAAACTGATATTCGTTTCTGCTGCTACTTAGAAAGTACTTGAACTACGGTGTTGGTGAAGAATATTGAATATATGGAAACCGAGTAAAGTGTTCCCCAAGAATGTGGAACAGTATCTATTCTAAGGGGGAATTGAAACCCAGTAAAGTCAAAGATATTTCCCCCACCCTGGTTAAAACAGATAATTAGAACAGATAGGACCCCAGATGGGAATAGATAAGTAAACTTAATTACCCCCAACTATTTCCCCACTCTGGTTAAGACAGATGAGTAAACACATAGGACCCCAGTTGGAGATAGATGAGTAAACACAATAAACTCAGTTCCTTAAGAACTGAATGGAACAAAAAATATTTTTTCCTGCTATTTCCTTAAACACTGATGATAAATGCATTAATGTGTCTTAGGAAACAACTTGAAAATTGACTCTGGTGGCCCGTGGACATGCACATTGGACAGAGAGGAGCCAAGTTACTGGGAACTAACGCTCTCCCCTCTGCCTAAGCCCCAATCAGCTGATGACAGGAAGCCGGTGTGACTCATCCAGTATGCAAGACTACTGGATTAAAACACTACTCTCCCTTTAAACCAAGGCGGTAGAAATTTCAGCCAATCGTCAACCATGTCATGCCCAAATTCCTGAAATTTTTATGAATATGCATAACCCTCTCTTCTGAAACCTACGAAACTAATTCGATGGAGATTCGGGGAGTCAGATCTGGGTACAGACCCCTGCCTCCTTGCACTGTCACTTTGCAATAAATAATTTTCTCTCCTCTTAATCACTTGGTGTGTAAACTGTTTTGGCCTGACTGTGCCCAGGGCAGGACCTGCGTTTGGTCCTATTACAATACCACTGACTGCTAGAAGAATGAACAAATCTGTCTTGGAAGAAGTACAGCTGGAATGTTCCTTAGAAGTGAGGATTCCAAGACTTGGGTCTCTCATACTTTGGTCATGTCATTAGGAGGGACCAGACCCTAGAGAAGGACATCATGCTTGACAGAGTGTCAGCAGAAAAGACCTTCAAAGGGATGGATTGACCATGGGCTCAGACATAGCCAACTGCCTCATCTTTCTCCCACAGATCAGCTGTTGGGTTCAAACTGAGAACCTTTTGGTTAGCAGCCAAATGCATTAACCACTATACCACCAGAACTCCTTTAGAGTTCTAAAGATAATCAAGAGAGCAAGATGTAAGAGAAGGCAGGCAGAGATGTTCAAGTGAGGTTGGGGCACCTGAGGTTTTTCAGCCCCCCAGGTTCTAGGAGTCCGAGCCAGGGAAATAAAGGTGAGGGTGTCACAGCCCAAAAAGCAGGGTGTTCCCATGGGGCAGCTATGTACCCTTGGCATCTAGGGTGGGAACCCACCACCTCACATTCCCATAGGGCACAGCTTCCTCTATCTATAAACATCTCCATGCACCTGTATAAAGCTTTAGCCTCAAATGATCAGGTATGGCTAGGCAAAAGGGAATATATCCATGGCCATATATAAGGGTGGCAGACAATATTTCTACATAAGTATTTGTATGTGCTATTAGAATGTCCAAATACATAATAACGCTAACAAGGGACAAAGTTATAACTTTTTGGCTGCAGCCAACCATCCTGATGGGGTGAGTAGTTGGATTTTGGGCTCGGGACCATGGTCGTAGGGGACATCAAGCTCAATTGGTGTAACATAGTATACAAAACTGTTGTTCTACATTCTACTTTGGCAAGTGATGACTGGGGTCTTTAAAGCTTGCAAGAGACCATCTAGATGCAACAATGTGGGTCTCCTTGTCCAGAGCAAAGAAGAATGAAGAAAACCAAAGATGCATAGAAACAATTAGTCCAAGGACTGGTGGACCATGTGATCCTCAGCTTATATGACCCTGAGACCAGAAGTAGATGGTGCCCAGCCAGCAACTACTGTCAACCACTCAGAAAGGGATCAGTGCAGGAGATACTGGAGAGTGAGAGAACAATGTGGAACAAAACTCAAAATCATAAAAAAAAAAAAAAAAGACCAGGTTTACTGGTCTCATAGAGCCTGGTGAGACCCCTGAGACTATGGCCCTTAGTTACCCTTCAGATCTGGAACTGAACTCACTCCTGGAACTAAACTCACTTCCAACCAAACAATAGACAGGCATATGGGGTGAACATTTACATCAGGTAGATACACTCCTTAGAGCAATCAATTGTGGGAAAACAGATGGGCAGTGTTTGCACAGGGAGACAGCTGGGGTGGGGTCTGTGGCACAAGAATGCACAGGAAAGGACACAGAGAAAAGCTAACTACAGGGAGGAAGTGAGAAGAGAGCTGTTAGTTACATTGTGGGGACTGCAGTCAATATCATGAGACAAAATGTGTGTGAACTGCTGTATGGAAAATGAATTTTCTCTGTAAACTTTCACCCGAATCATTAAAAAAAAAAAAAAAAAAAAGCTTTAGCCTTTATTAAATAAAAAGGAGGTGTAAGACAGGTAAGGGAACAGGCCAGGGACACCCCCTTATCCCTACACATAAACAGACATACAAACACAGACACATCAAGTAAATAACGGACAGCTCAATGGGCAGACTGAAGGGCAGAGGGAGGTAACACCCTCCGAGAGTGGGCTCGGACCCAAGGGTGGGCTGAGACCTGGGCCAGGGGCAGCCGTTCTGAGGGGTTATGCTTGAGCAGCTTGGAGATGAGGTCCTGGGCTCCTGTGGGCACGGAAGAGGGGAACTTCAGGTCCACCTGCAGAAGTAGAGCATGGAAAAGGGAGGACCCATTAGTTTCATCCTGGCTACAATTTCTTTCATGTTGTTGTTGTTATATGCCGTGGAGTCGGACCCGACTCACAGTGACCCCTCCTAGGGTTTCCGAGGCGGTATCACTGTGGAAGTAGACTGCCCAACCTTTCTTCCAAGGAGTGGCTGGTGGGTTTGAACCTCCAGCCTTCTGGTTAGCAGCCAAGTGCCTTAGGCACTACACTACTAGAGCTTCAGAGGGCTGCATAGGACGCTATCAGGTGTCACTCTGCTTACTCCTGGACCTGGCCCCGACAACCCACATACAGTTCAGCCAGGCAACAGGCCAGCCTGCCCACCTTGACAATGCGCCGATATGTCTCGTTGTGTGAAGAACTCTCAAAGGGTGGATTTCCCACCAGCAGCTCATAGCAAAGTACTCCAATGCACCAAAGATCCACCTTCTCATTGTGGGTGCGCCCCTCAATCATCTCTGGGGGCAGGTAGTCCAGGGTGCCACACATCGTCTTCCTCCTGGGTACCAGGGTAGGGGGAGAGTGGGCAGGGTCTCAGGGACAGGCAGCCTCTCCTTTCCCCACTGGCTGATGGCATGGAGCCAAGAGACTCCATTGTGCAGGGGAGCAGTGCAACCAGCCTCTGATGGGCCACTGGGGTGTGGATAGGCTTAGCCCTGTGGGACTGGGGTGGGATGAAGCTATGAACCAGAGCCTCAGACTAGGCATACATAGGCCCTGCATTTCAACCCTGAGATATGTGTCTTAATAAAATAATCAGATATGAGAGCACTGTTCATCTTAGAATAAAGAGAATAATTGGGGATATACCAAATGTTTAAGCACGATTGCCTTTAAACAATAGACAGGCATCTGGGGTGAACATTTACATCAGGTAGATACACTCCTTGGAGAGATTAATCACCGGAGAACAGAGGACAGTGTTTGCACAGGGAGACAGCTGGGGGGCGGGAGGGCATGGGAGGGAAGGACGCAGGGAAGAGGTAACTACGGAGGAAGTGGGAAGAGAGCTGTTACATTGTGAGGAACTGCAGTCAATGTCATGAGACAAAATGTGTATGAATTGCTGTATGGAAAATGAATTTGCTCTGTAAACTTTCACCCAGACCACAATAAAAATCAGGAAAAAAAAAAAGAATGTTCGGCTAAAATAAATCAGGTCATATCCCAACTACATAGTACTATGAACCCATTAAACATGACATGGGAGTGTTCTTCATAATATGGGAAGACGACCTCAATCTACTGAGTGCAAAATCTGGACAACAGAACTGTGGGGACCCTATCCTTGTTCAAGCACTTCTGTGTCTGTTCCTGCATGGGGAGTCCCTGGGTACAAATGGCTAAAGGGCTCAGCTGCTGACCAAAAGGTTAGAGGTTCGAGTCCCCCCAGGGCACCTCAGAATAAAAGCCTGGTGATCTACTTTGGAAAACTCAGCCATTGAAAACTCCATGGCACACAGCTCTATTCTGACACACGGGTCGCCATCAGTCGGAATTGACTGGACTGCAGCTGGTCTATCTGCATGAGAACAAAACCAAATTTCTCTGCCTAACCAGATTTGGTTTCTTTCCACCTTCCCAGGCTCCCACCCAGTGCCCACCATTGTGTACCTCAGAGACGGGGCATGCACAGACCAGCCAAAGTCGGCTATCTTCAGCTCTCCCCGGAGCCCCAAGAGCAGGTTCTCCGGCTTTATGTCTCTGTGGATCACTTTCTTCCCGTGGCAGTACATCAAAGCATCTGCCAACTCCTCCATGATCTGGAAGGGCCGAGGACAGACAGTCAGACAAGGACGGACCTCCCAGCCACAGGCAATGCACCCCCAGGCTCCAGCCCCTGCCAGCGGCCCCGGTGCCCACCCGCCCCGACCGTGGCTGTTCGCTGCTCATCAAAAGTGCGGCTCTTCTGCAGTTCCTTGTAGAGCTCCCCCCGGGGGGCATACTCCAGAATCAAGTAGACCCTCCGTCGGTCATAGAAATAGTTGTAGAGACGCAGGATGTTGGGGTGCCTGGGGGAAGCACAGAGAAGCAAGCCTCAGGCCACATCCTGGTAGAGGAGCAGGGGGAAATAACTGGTCCTATATGGGTGGCATAGTGCCTATGGTATTTGACTGCTAACCAGAAGGCTGGCAGTTCAAACCCACCAGCCACTCCTTGGAAGGAAGGCTGGGCAATCTACTTCCATAGAGATACCGCCTCGGAAACCCAAGGAGGGGTCGCTATGAGTCGGATTCCACTCAAGGACAGTGAGTTTGGTTTTTTTCTTATATGGGGCAAACAGGGCCAGGCCACCACCCCCAGGGCTGGAAGTGGTGAAGGGCAACACAAACGGGGATAGGGGCAGCATTCTGAACTCAAGACTCCGGCCCAGGTGGGAGCTAACCGGACACAGCTGCCAAGAAACAGTCTGGATATGGTGGGAGAGCAAAGGAGCTTGGGGCTGGGGGTGAGGTGCGGAGGGGCCGGGCTCAGAGGGTGTGGGTCGTACTGTAGGTGGGCCTGGATCTCAATCTCCCTGCGCAGCTGGTGCTCCACACCCTCCTTCTCTATCTGAGACTTGAAGAGGACCTTGAGCGCCACGATGAAATGGTTTTTCTTCTCCCGAGCCAAATACACATTTCCAAACTTGCCTTTGCCCAGAGGACGTCCAATCTCAAAGTCATCAATTGTGAAGGGCTTCCTGATTGGAAAGTAGGGGAAGAGCACTCAGCGCTGGGAGGTGACATGTGTTTGTCAGTCATTTCCAGTGTTTGCTTTCTCCCCGCTCCCTGAGTCCTTCCTGCTCTCAACCCTATTTCTCTTTGAAGGGAGCTGAGAAGGGATCAGGCTTTCCTGCCCCGTGCCGACTCCATCTGCCTCTGGGTTTTACCTCCCCCATTTTCTGCCTGCTTAATGTTGCACCTCCCCTCTTCCATCCCAAGGCTTGGGGGACTTACATTAAGAAGCTGGGTGTCCCACTGCTATTCTCTACTGTCTTTTTCTGGCCAGGAACAGCTAAGGAGAGAACAGGTAAGCTGAGGCCCTCATTTGACCTCATCCCTACATTCTCCCCATAGGCACCAGTCCCTTTGGGTGAATCCTCTCTCCCCATCCCAGTTACCTGTGAGCTGGGCATTGGAGCGGCTCATGAGGACAAGCGCAGATGAGTTGGCAGCCTCCTTCTGGAAGACTCTCTGGGACAGGATGTTTAGGCCAGATTGAGCCTGAGAAGGAGCAGGGGGTAGCTCTGAGGCGCCTTTGTCCTAGTGACCAGGCTGGAATGTGCTGCACGCAGCCTTCCAGCTACTTGCCATGGAGCCACACACCCACCCATCCCCAGTTCAAAGAGGAACATTGATACCACAGTTCTGCTACCCAGCCCCAGACTCTGTTCAGAGCACCGTATTAAAATGAGCTATTAATAAACAACCTAAGTTGCCCTTAGGTAAGGGGCAAAGGACTTACCCCAACATCTAACATTTCACCTCTCTGGCCCTGGCCCACAGCACATTCTCAGGCACAAAGCTCTCCAGCTTCTATAGTCCTGTCCATAACACCCCATGAGGTCACCCAGGCCCTCTTCCCGGGGAGCAGTGGCCACTGAACACCCACCATCCAAGGAGTTTTACACAGATGTATTCTCACAGCCCCCTAAAAGCCCGGTCTCCAAGGTTTGGAGAAGGTCCTTAAAGCCATGAATATTGCAGTAAATACCACTGTTTACCTCTTTGCACCAAGAGGCTTTTCCAGACACCGAGGGCTACTCTGGTGGCCTGGGGACCATTTCTCATTTTCAGCCTCTCAGGTTAATATACACAGCTTTCTTTTGGGAGTGACCAATGTAGAGGCTCATTCAGTCTCGACAACCTCACTAAGCACTCTAGGCGGGAGAGAGCTGATGGACACAGGGCGGATGGGCCCTCCGGGCTGCCTAAAACCAAAAATAACCCAAACTCACTGCCGTGGAGTCCATCCTAACTCATAGCCACCCCTCCTCGGGTTTCCAAGGTGGTATCTCTATGGAAGAGATTGCCCAGTTTGCCCTCCGAGGAGTGGCTGCTGGGTTTGAACCACCAGTCTTCTGGTCAGCAGTCAGACGCCTTAGTCAGTGCACCACCAGAGCTCCTAAGCCCCAGCAGAAAGGGAGCTAAGCCAGTGAAGAGTTTCTTCAGCCAAGAGAGGAAAACCCCAGTGCCCTTAAAAACCTGTCCCAAGAAAGCAACAAATAAACAAGTCCAAAAATAGACCCACGTATTATGTGGGAAAAATATATAATAAAGATGACATTTCATATCAGAGTGGACTCTGCAAAGAAAGGTGTTGGGACAAATGGCCAACTGTCTATACAATAATGTTTAGATCTTTACCGCAACTAGTTATTAAAATAAATGCCGAGTCATTTAGACTTGTCTTTCTTGACCTTTTAAACAGTCACTGTACCGAAATTTTTTTAGAGCTTATTTCTATTTCCTGTCCAGACTATTTCTTTCAGGACAAGGGTGGGGAATCGTGGCTTGAAGGCCAGGCTTTGACTCTGGCCAGATGCTCAGTCCCAGACATCACTTGCATGTGTTAACTAGGCTCAGTCAGCCCAGCAGAGGGGCCAGTGGTTGGTCAAATTCAAGTTCACAGCATTTGACAGGCCTTCCCTAGGACACGGCTGCAAAAGACTAGACCTAATTCTGCTAGCAAGCTCTTAGGGCTCATATATTAGCGCAAAATAGATAAGAAAGTGCTAAGAGGATAGACCTTTTCAGGACCCCAAAGCTGGGACTGGGAGCCTTAGGCAAACTCCAAGCAGGAACTCCGCCACGCGGGTAGAAGGAGAAGGGAGAGGAAAGGGCCTTACCGTCTGCCGGACGTAGGGCCAGGGGTAGGCGTTCTCCTTCTGGGCCATCCTTAGAGGGAAAGGGGGCGTGGAGCTGGGAGGGAGGAGGGAAACAGAGAAGTGAGAAGAAAATAGAAGGAGCGAGAGAGGGAGGGGTCGGGCCTATCTAGCCGGAAGCGCCTGCCTGGGGCTGGGGGAAAGGAGCGGCTATTTCCTTGCTACAGTACACTGACCAGAGTAGGGGGCATCCAGGCGCTCGCCTTGTCGTCCCGCCCATCTACTGGTCCCACTCCCCTCCAGGACCCTCTCCCACCTTTGTGCGCCCGGTAGCCCGGCGGAAGACACGCAGAACTGCCCAACGGATCCCTGACCTGCTTGCTCACCGGTCTTCTCCCAGCACAAGGCCCAGGGACCGGGGCCAGCTCACCTGGAGCCCGCAGTACAGCTGCACTCCAGGCCTCCCGCAAACGATTGAACCTGCCCCGCTGAGTCCCAGTCGAGGCGCTTTCAAATCTCCCGCCCTGGCCCTATTGGCTGAGCGTACGGCTTATGCCAAAGCCTCATTGGCTGGATATTCCATGACGTAGTCCGCGAAAGCTCAGTGGAAAGGGCTGAATACCTGTTTCCGCACTCTCGGGTTCTGGTTTAGGGAAGGTTTCTTTCTCCCAGTTAAGTATTCCCTTATTTCTTATTTTATTATTATTTTTTTTTTTGTCAATTTAAATCTTTAATATCTCTGAAATTTATCTGTGTGTATTAGTTCTAACAGGTGGATAGCCAATTATACCAAGAGAATGTGTCACATTGCCATTCCCAACGCAATTTAAATGCCATCCTTGATATCTAAAGTTGTATATACTTGAGCATACTTCTGGGCCTTCTATTCTGCCCCATTATTTGTTCATTTGCATGTGTCTGTTTCCTTGTGTCATTACTACTTTGTTCTTAAAAGTTTTCAGCTCATGCTGTATGAAAAGTGAATTTACTCTGTAAATCTTCTCCCAAATCCTTAAAAAAAAAAAAAAAAAAAAAAGTCTTCAGTTCACAAAGGGATCAGCGCAGGAGATCCTGGATAGAGTGGGAGAACCATGTGGGACAAAACTCAAAATCACACACGCAAAGAAAGACCAGGTTTACTGGTCTGATCGAGCCTGATGAGATCCCCTAGACTATGGCCTCTAGTTACCCTTCAGGTCCGGAAGTGAACTCACTCCTGTGGCTTCCAGACAAACAATAGGCATATAGGGTGAACATTTACATCCGGTAGATATACTCCTTAGAGGGATCAATCATTGGAGAACAGAAGGGCAGTGTTTGCACAGGGAGACAAGGGTGGGGGCAGGAATACATAGGAAAGGACACAGAGAAGAGGCAACTACAGGGAGGAAGTGGGAAGAGAGCTGTTGTGTATGTTGTGGGGAATTGCAGTCCATGTTATGAAACAAAATGTGTATGAACTGCTGTATGGAAAATGAATTTGTTCTGTACACTTTCACCCAAATCACAATAAAAATTTTAAAAAGTAAAAAGAAAGTCTTCACATCTCCAGCACGAGGTACATGGACACTTCTCTGCAAGTCCTCCGATGGCTCCGATGGCTGTCAGGTTGTTTGGACCCACACATTTCTAATTTTTCATTTATTTCATCATTTTGTTGTTGTATTGTCTTTCAAAATTGTTGTAGGGTTTTCTCTGTGTTTTCCTCAATTTTGTCAGTGTTTTCCTTGATCTGTCTCTCAATTTGTAGAAGATACCTAAATATCATTCTTTTGAATTCCTTATCAGGGAGTTCCAATGCTGCGTCTTCCTCAGGGATGTGTTTTGGGTCTGTATCCTGGTTCCTTGTTTCTCCTGCTTTATCTTGCTTCTTTGTGGGAACTGTCATGCTCTGTTGTCTCCAAGGCATTGTGACATTTTTGTGTTTATATTTAAGTGATGATTGTATGTTGGAGTGACTTGCCTACGATTTTCGTTTTCTTTGTTTTGTTTGTATGTTATCTACGCAAGCAGGGTACTGTGCTGTGCTGCTTTATTCACTAGTTGACAGCACTTATACACTCACCACCTGTCTCCTTTCCAGTTGTCAGCCTCTCCTATGTCCCTGCCGTCCTTGGCAAACAGAACCTATTCTTAGGTCCCTGGAATCCAAATGGGAATGCTATCACTTTAAAATCCAAAATGGTTGCCACTGGTAAAGATTTAAAATGGCCGAACTCTCGGTCACTTTAAATATCCAAAATGGCTGCCACGTGAAAACAATCAAAATGGCTGCACCCTCCAGACAGAGGAAAGCCAAAAGCTCAATTTGCCTCCCTCCTTGCTGTTTCCCTTCCTAGTCATAGGCCACCAGCACAGTCATCCCTGCAGCTCTTGGTGACCAGGGTTGATCTTTAGGTCAATTCTCAGGTCCCAACACCACTTGGATATATTCAGGCTGTTGGTCCTGTCAGAGTAGCTGACAGTCTGCAGCTCCAACTGTGTCTATACTCACTGTTTTCATTCAAGTTTTTCCACTAGTTGGTGTCTAATCCACTTCTGTATAGTTCCTTTCAAAGCTCAGGGCTCCAGGATTATCTTCTGTATCTCTGTCAATTGGGTTTTCTTTTCTTTATTGAAGAGGGTCTGTGTTGCTTGTCTGCCTATTCCTCCATCTTACCGGAATTCCCTGTTTTAAATTTGTTATCAGACTGTTCTATAAACTTATTTGTATCTGGAGTGAATCCATATTCCCATTGTTGATTTTTTCAGCTCTCTAATTATAACATTTTTCATAAATTTTGAGATTTGTTTTTGCAAGATCTTTTTATTTTGTTTGTTCTCTCTCTCTCTCTCTCTTCTTTTGAGGGGTGTTGGTCACTCCTCCCTGACCAACAATTGGGCCATTGCCATTAAATAGCTTCCTTGCTCCCAGTTAAAAAACAAGTCTTCTAGTGGTGTTTTGGGGTTCCTGCCCCACTGTGATATTGGGGGTATCTCAAATGTAGTCAGTGAGCAGAGGGCAAATAGGTTCAGTTCTAGGTCTTGAGGCTACATCTGTGTCTTCCTACCTTTCTGGGCCTAAACCTCCAGGCAAGGAGTTGGTAGTTTATGGCCTCTTTTTCAGATATAGGGATTCCATTCTTGCTCTGGCTTCAAACACTGAGTCTGGCTCCAGCTCCCCATCCCCAACTAGGCCCTGTTTCTGTACCAGACATGAATACCCAGTTCCTGCTGTCCACTTGTAGGCCTCAAGCCCTGCAAATCTGTAACAGCCCTGTTTAAGGCTTTGTATTTGTTGTACTGAATTGTTTATTTTGTTCTTATGCTAGCTATGGCCTTTTAGTTCACATTTTTAAAATATTTTTGTATCAATGCTATGCATTTGAAGCAAAAGGGGAATGGCAGAGTGGGGACTTATGATGCTGCCCCTACCAACAATCCAGGGTCTTTTCTGAATGCCAGGCTTTCAGAGTATATGTCAGCCAGGGTGGTAACAGCAAAACAACTGGAGCTTCAGTTGGGGAAATGATAGGGAATAGTGGAGAATGTGGCAGATGAGAGAGTATGTGCTGCAAAGAACAAGACAATACTCAGTTCTACTGGCTTGTTACTATTTGGCAGTGTAGGTCTAGCATGGCCAGGCTTTAAGATTTTTAAAAAGAAGCTAGATATCTGGATTTCCATGGTTAATTTGTTGTTGCTGTTATGTGCCGTCGAGTCGGGCCCCCACTCATAGCGACACCTCCTTGGGTTTCTGAAGCAGTATCACTACGGAAGTAGATTGCTCCATCTTCCTTCCAGGGAGTAGCTGGTGGGTTTGAACCGCCAGTCTTCTGATTAGCAGTCAAGTGCCTTACGCACTATGCTACCAGAGCTCCCATGGTTAATTTATTGAGTTGCAAATGTTGGCAAATAAATTACCAAACAAGTCCATGGGCTTGATTTGGTCTGCAGATTATCAGTATGCCCAGGGAGGAAATCTGGTGGTATAGTGGTTAAGGTATTTGGCTGTAACCAGAGGGCGGTGGTTTAAACTCAACAGTTGCTCTGTGGAAGAATGATTTACAGCCTTGGAAACCCAGTGGGAGTTGCTATGAATTAGAATCCACTCGATGACTTTTTTTTTTTTTTTTTTTCAGTATGCCCAGGACTCTGGATCATAGCCCAGACCTCATTCAGTCACCCATCACTCAGGCTCTTATGGAACACCATGCAGCAAAATGTAGTAGAAACGGGCTTGCAGGTCACAGGTTTGACTCTGGGCTTGCCACTTATAATCTGCGTTGCTTAGGCAATATGTTCAATCCTTCTAAGTAAGAGCTCTAAAATGAGCTTATGTACACTGCCTTGCAGGACTGTTGTCAAAATGAAGTAGGGTCATTGAAGCTTTTAGCATAATGCCTGGCACATAGTAACCTTCAACGTTAACTATTCTTACGAGTAATAAGTCACCCAGCCCCAGTGAGTAAGAGAAGCATGTTTACCAACAAATGTCAGCTAATAATAAATGTAGAAGAAAAGATAGAATTAGAAAATTACCATTTTGTAATCCCTATAAAATAATTCAGGCAAGGTGCTCTGGTTTCAGTGGGCTGCCAAGAGGATGCAGGATTGCAGGACCAGCTGCCTCCCACCATTCCAAGTGGGCTGCCAGAGGTCCTGGGCCATTGCCTTGCTAACTCATCAGCAATTCTTCAATTCAAGCAAGCACAGCTCCTGCAACAAGGCCTGGTCTATTGTCTGCCTCTGTCTTGGTACACGTGACACAGTGCCCGCTCTGACAGAAGGCTGGGCAGGGGCAGGGGAGGGAAGGAGAGGTCGAAGCACAGTTTCCATCCTGGGAGGATGTCTGGTGGGTGACTGGTGGTGACTAACAGGGGCAGGCTTCATTTTAGACGTCAAGGAAAGAAATCTTCCATGTGGGAAGACAAAGCTGAAGGGGTGACTGGCCTGGATTGTTCCTTCCTTCCTTTCTTTTTTTTTTTAAATATACCAGAGGCAGCAAAAAATGCATATGGCTCCCTCCCAGCTCCTAGTGATTTCCAAGAAGTAATAGGCAAATGTAGTATTTGTATTTAATATCCTTGTGTTCTACTTCTTGTTGATTGGGTAGA